CACACACACACACACACACATACACACTTATGCACATGCACATGCACACACACACACACACACACACACACACACACACGTACACTTGCTCTTTCATGTACACACGCGCACGGTTTAATGCCCGCTTTAGGAAATTATCACATGTGTATGCCCCTATACTGTTTTCCTTTGATGTTACATACCTCTTGGCGCATCTTAACCATGAATAATGTAAACCATGTCGATTCAGCACTTGTGCGACCTAATTACCGTAAATTTCTTGCAAAAACGAGTGTCAATAGTGCGTAACAATAATAGCAATAAATAGTTGGCACAAGACTTGTGAAGAGCGCTTGAATAACATTAATTTTACGAGAGTTACTTGAATACCTTAATAAGTGCACACCTTGAACATTGTTCCGGGCTAAATTTTTTTATGTATTTGTTTGCTGGTCATTTAGTTTGTCGCGTTAGGGTGGTGGTTCAAGGGTGTCACTAGTAAATACTACTTTCTTTCCCTTTTGTTGTTGTTGTTGTTGTTGTTGTGTGTTTTTGTTGCTGTTGCTGTTGCTGTTGTTATTGTTGTTGTTGTTAATAATGATGATGATGATGATGATGATGTTGCTGTTGTTGGCTGTCTCGGTCGTCTTTAGACAGTACTAAACTGCCATTGTAATGTAGAAGTGCGGTCTCTCCATTCAAACCCAACTTCGTCAGTGGGTGGTTGGCGAGTGCTCTGGTGTGGATTTCTCCTTCTTTCCCTTCAAACATATATCGTCTTCACCTCTCCTTTTTTGTGTTTGTTACTTTCTTGTAACACTTCTAAAATCGTCGCAGATGGCTGGAGGGAGGGCTCCACTGGTAGGGTCTAGTTCTTAACTGTTCCTCTGTTGTTTCTGTTTGTCTGTCTTATTTGTTCCCAGCACTAAATGGCCATTATAGAGTCGATATTCTCATCTTCACTAAAACAAAACAAACTTTAATCTTTGGCACTTATATGACCTAATTATGTTACAGGTGCCGTAAAACTCTTACATAATATAAAAATAACGATTCGTCAGGTGGGTAGATCTAGCTAGCAGGTGGGCGCCATTGGCACGAAGGTCCTGCTTCATTTCGTTCTTCGCATTGTTTTCGTCTGGTCCCCCCCCCTGAACGACAATAACATAGATAAACTGAGAAGCTAAGATAAATTTATACGTTTTTCCCCAAGTGGGACATATCTCGTGGCTTTACAG